AAAACCTTTCTTTATATAAGGGGAGTGAAGTGGAAGAACAAAATTAGGGGTGGGGAGTGCAGAGGAAAATAATTTAAGGGGGGACTGATTTGAAAGTTCAAAAAGGGGTAAAGAATTTAAGTAGAATTTTCTGAAAATATTATTCATATTAATATAAATGGATCAACGGGTAATATATTGTTAAAATAAAGTTTAAAATTTTTTTCCCATGCATTATTCTCACTAGTAAAGTAATAGATAGTTAAAAAAAAAAAAAATGGAAGTCACTAAATCAGGTGCAAACTAATTCAACAAAAAGCGCTGAACGCTACCGACGCTTTTGAGAGAAATAAATACCTCTCACGTCAACTTTCCGCCGGGCACCACAAATCGCCGCCGCCGCTACGCTGCTTCCCTCCCGCCATCTACTCAGCTTCCTCCACGTATGGACCTCCCAATCGCGCAGCGTTCAGTCAACAGCACGTTTTTGGCTCAACCGCGCCTCTTCAACTCATCGGCTCATCTCTCGCCGCGCGTTTTCCTCCCTGTACACCTCCAGCAGCGCAAGGTACAACTCTTCTCCCAGTACCTCACACCCCCTCGAATGGAGTCCACGGTACCTCATGCGGTCGGTAACAATGGTTCTCCGTCGATAGCCATAGCTCAGGGTAAATTCGATGTGAACTTGTTATTTATTTATTTTTTTTTTGAATTCATTTTTGCTGTTTTGGCCTGTCTTTGCTAATTGCCTGCAATTGCAGGGGGAAGAATTGGAGAGGTTAAGAGGGTTACCAAAGAGACGAATGTCAGTGTGAAGATCAATCTGGATGGCAGCGCCACAGCTGAAAATAATACGGGGATTCCGTTTCTTGATCACATGTTAGATGTTAGTTTTTCATTTATCTTTGTGCAATTTTATTTATTTATTTTGTTAATTTAGGACAGGTGATTTTATATTTTCTGTGACTATGGAATATGTAATTGAACTTCTGTTATAACTGTTATTCAGTCAGTACCTAGGAGTACAAAAGCTACTAAGTGGGTGGGTGGATAGTGATTATCCTGTGTATGTAGTCATTCATTGTAGGTGTTACTTCAGCTGGATACAACAGTAATTAGGCCAACAGTAGGAGTATAGTTTATTTTTTCTGCTTCGATGCAAGAGAGTTGTTTGGTTGGCACTAATACATGTTGTTTCCTGTATTGTCCATCCATCATGAATATGATCGTTGTTTACTTGTTTATATGTTTGGTTCGAATGAGTTAGAATGCTGAATGTTGCTGTTTTATTCTGTTACAGCAACTTGCTTCTCATGGGTTATTTGACGTACATGTAAAAGCCACTGGGGATATTCATATTGATGATCACCATACTAATGAAGATGTCGCACTGGCAATCGGAACTGTAAGGACATGTTTCTAAACAAATATATCACTCAAAATGAGTTTTCCTGTAAACTAAAGTTAATTTCGAAAAAATTGGTATGATTAGCTATTACTGAGATTTTGATTTCATATTAAAATAATACAATTAAAGATAATTTGATATAAAAGTATGAGAGAAATAATATGAAGTGATAGTTAAAATTATGTGAGTGGATGAATATTATTTAAACTTGATGTAATGTGTAAGAATGATTGTCGATTATATTTAATTATATTAATAATATCGAGGACAGTGAGGTTGAGTTTAAATTGAGTTAGATTTTGAGTCTGAATTGAAAATGGAATGAGATATTCCGTATACAAACACACCCTAAGTTTCCAAGTATCAGAATTCTGATTTATTTATTGTGAACTTTTGAAATATTTTTGAACAACATTCTTTTCTCTTTGCTGCTTCACGCATTGTTTGCACGTATTCTTGAAATTCTTTCTCTAGTTTGCTCCAAAAATCTGTTTAAGAAAATGTTACTATTAGGCATGTATCTGACCACGTGGATCTGATTGGTTTTGAACACAAGTCTGCCATATCCAAGTCTCCTTTGCTTGCAATAAGAGATGAATTGTACCTTTTCTGAATAGAGGTTATAGCCTTTCATTGTATGTTTGTTATATGCTTTTCTGATGTTAAACGTGGGCCAAAACAAGAAGCCATAAGCATGCTTTCCCCGCAATTTTCTGCTGTTAGCCTGGAAGTCAACTGCAATAACAATTATATTCGTGCAGTCTTTGCTGCAAGCACTTGGTGATAGGAAAGGAATTAATAGGTTTGGAGACTTCTCGGCTCCTCTTGATGAAGCACTTGTACATGTTTCACTGGTATGATGCGCAAACCACTTAACTCTTCTGGGGAGTATTGGCTTCACAGTTTTTCATTATTTATCCATCAAGCAAAGGCGAAAATTAGTCTTCTATCATTTATAGGAAGCATTTGACTGCATTTGCGAAAACAGAAGGCTGTGGTGTAGTGTCCTTTTCCCATCATACGAAATAGTTTTTATTCTAAATATGCATATTTTTCTTTTGCATTTCGATTTTAGGATTTATCCGGAAGGCCTCATTTGAGTTATGATTTGCATATACCAACAGAGAGAGTTGGAACATACGACACACAGGTATTCTGCTCTATTAAGTTACTCAATGTTTGTAGGTGGCATCTGAATTATCATTGTAATAGATTTCACCTTATGTTAAGTATTGTGTCCTTGCACTGTGCTTGCATAAGTAAAATCCTCTTTTTCGAGTTTCAGTTTTTCCTCCTGAACTGCATTCCTGTAAGTGTGTATTTGACTTCACATGAATGTTTTTTTTTTTTTCAGTTGGTGGAGCACTTCTTTCAGTCTTTAGTCAATACCTCTGGGATGACACTACACATACGACAGGTAGAATTACATTCTTGTGAAGGTCTTGTATTTACATTGTTAGAGTAGATACGTGTTTAAAATCTTGATACCTTAATTAGATGACAATTTCCTTTTAGCATATTTCTTTCACAAAATGTTCATGGAAAAATTATATGAAAAGACCCTTTTTCCTTAATCATTTGATAGTACCATCTAGTATATCTGACATGTCCAGCTTGTTCCTTGCTTTTATGGGAATACACCATTATATTTTCCATTTAATAATCTTTACACTAAATAGCATAAAAAATTTAACTCTACCATGTGTACTGTGCAGAAGGTATCAATTAAGCTGAAAGACTGTTAGGAGGGTAATCCTATCATACTTTTTCACAAAAATGTATACATGTACAGTGAAATGTGATACTGTTCATAATTGGTTAAAATAGTTGTTTTATTGTTTTTTTAAGAGTGACGTTTCAAGAAAAGTATGTGTTTTTGTTGACTCATTGATCAATCAAATCTTATGCAAGAAATTCTTCGATAATGCCCCTTTATTTAAAAATCTATGAATTAACAAAATTGCCTTTACTGTTAATAGCGTGTGTTTATCTAATCCATATTTTCTGAATGGATGGACTCTGATAATCGAGAATAGCTTGCTGGGAGGAATTCTCATCACATCATTGAGGCAACCTTCAAGGCCTTTGCAAGGGCCCTTCGGCAGGCAACGGAGTACGATTCTCTCCGTGGAGGAAGTGTGCCAAGGTTCATACTTCATTTATTTATTTATTTGAGGATGGGGATTTGTATTTAGCTCCTCTTGTTGGAAAAGGTCATTTTTTATGAGATCTAAGACAGGTTTGAGTAAGTGCTGCAAGTTTATCTACAAAATGTGTTTGTTATGCTACTCAACGTGTTGTATCATCTGCATGTAGCTCGAAAGGTGTCCTCTCGCGCTCGTGATGCTTCATCAATTATGCCATATTGGATGCCAGCTCGTCCCAACAAAACCTTCAGTTTTCAAAAAGGAACGGCGGCAAAGGTCTGCATCTGGAGTTTTTCAGCCTTTCTCAATAATCCTGAAAGCCTTTGTTGTTTGAAAAGTATCGCATCGATCTTTTAAGAACCTATTCCAGTATGACTCTGTTTAAGCAACTCCATACCCTAATTTTATGCACTGTATAATGCATGTTTGGTTTCAACATCCTAATTGTATGTATATTTACCAAAACATTACTTGTTCCTTTCAGAGTTTTATATGTTCTATTATGTTAAAAATCATCAGATTTTGATAAATGTTATATGTATTGTAATTGAAATAATGAAAAGATATATGCTGGAATTTGTTTTTATAGTGAGGCACGTCATTTTTTTTTTTTTTTTTTTTTNTTTTTTTTTTTTTTTTCAACCCAACCAATTGATTGAATGCGATGCAACCTTGCTTTCCATTTGCTTGAATGTTTAATTATTGAGTTGTTAGATGTCAGTTGTCAATGTTGCCATCATATAATAAAGTAGATGAATGAACCTATAAAAAGGTTGAGCAGTTTCTGGAAATTTGAATATTCTACACAAGTCCTTCTTTGATGTGATAAATCAATTACTAATAATCCTAATTCAATTATTATTTTTCCTTACAATGTAGACATTAGGTTAAGATTATGTTTAGTAGATTAGTTTATAAACTTTTCTGTATTCAAAAAGTTCCGTTTGATAAGACGATCTTTTTAACGCGTCTATAATTTGATTAATCGTGTCTCATATACATATTATTATGGATAAAATAACAGAAAAGGTTTAAATGGCATGACACGAGTTTGATTCGTCTGTAATTTTACCATCTTTTTTAGGGGAAAAATTTAAAACTAGTCACACAGGTATAGGAGGGTGACATTCTGGGTCGGAATGCAGAAAATATTAATAGTCCCCCAACTTTTAAAAAATGATCAAAAGTAGGACTTTTTTTTTTTTTGCTTTTCTGGCCAGAAAGCCACGCCGCGCACACGTTGCTTATTTTTTTTTTTATTTTTTTTACACGCTGGCTTATTTGTTTTACATGCTGGAAATATACATCCGACGTGGCCGAGTCCCCATTCACATAAACGGGCAAAAGCAGAAATCTTCCCCCTAAAAATTTCTTGCCTAATTTTAGAACCATAATTCCCAAATCGCTCCAACTTCGACCGAACTACTGATTTGATCAAAAGCACAATTGAGCATAAGATTGAATGCAGATGGGATTCCTCCGTAAAAAAATGCACCTGAACTTGCCTCCTTCAATATATCGTAAGAAATCATTTGTGCTTATTTCGGTTTTGTGTATTGGGTTGTTTTGCTCCATTGTTTTCTGATTTTTTTGTTGGCATTTTCATGTCATTATTGGGTCCATTATTCTATTTGTGTATTGTTTGGGTTTTTATACAAAGATTCCTCATTCTTGGATTTTATGTTATTTTTGACCCGTGATTTTTTTTTTTTTTT